AAATAAGATCTTCATCATCCTCATTGTAAGAAACTAGAATTTATGAAATTTATAAGTTTAGTTCTAATAATTAAAAGAGAATTTTCAAACAAATTGATCACGCTTTGAACTAAAATAAGATCACAAAATAAGAGACTGATCGTGATCATGGATCAACTACTTCTATAGTTGCTGTACCTTTGATAATAAACCATACAAATCAATGTAGCATAAACATGGTACAATTTAATTTTTTTTTTTTTTTTTTTTTTTTTTTTTTTTTTTTTAACATGCTGCTATAGTTGAACACTAAGAAATTTCAAGTGTAAAGAATATTGTTTACCATCATTAGGGTTACTGAAATTGATGTAAGCATATCCCAAAGATCGGCGGTTCTGATCACGACAAACTCTAACAGAGACAACATTAGCTACATGCTTGAACAAATCGAACAGATGTGCTTCGGTCACTCTCGGGTCTAGATCTCCCGCATAGAGCGATGAGTTCGGGTGTGTTTGATCGGCCACTACTGCCACCGTCTCTGGAGATGAAACCGGTACTGAAACCGAAATCTGAACCGATGTTTGAGCTGTCGGACTTGGAACCTGATCAACCATAGTCGCTGGTGCAACACCCGTTGCAACCGCCGCTGCCATGATGGTGATCTCAACTTTTTACGAGACGATTTGTGATTCTCTTGCCCCGTAAAGGAAACAAAAATAACCAATTCTCTATTAAAAAACAACAACAAAAACTGGAAGATTTGTTTTCTTTATGGTGAGAAAGAGATTGTGTTACTATATTTTTTTCTTCACAAATTTTAATTTTATCTGTTTTTAGGAAAAGAATTTATTCTTATTTTGATTTTTTTTTTCCTTTTTTAGTTTTCCTCTAATGATCGGAGAGGAGTGAAGAGAAGAGATACAAAAATCTAGTATGAAGAGTGTGTATGAGTATTTATACATAAACTCAGTGACCTTTGGATCCGAACAATTAACAATTTAGTGGTCATAGTGTTGTTCTTATCCTATTATTGCGCTTGTGTGTTTTGACTGATTTTACACAGATTTTAATTTTAAATCCACAAATCAAGAATGTGAAAATTTGTGTGTGTGTGTGTGTGTTTTTTTACCACTTTTTAAGAATAGATTTTCGACCAATTGATTTGGTCATAGCTAAAATATCAATCTAGATTACTATAAATAGAGACATTAATTAAAGTACTTTTGGATTCTTTTGACCAAATATTGGGATTATGATAAATAAATTGTTGTCTGATTAGTTTTAGATTCTATTTTTTTATGAACTAGAGCTTCCTTCAAATAGATTAGATTTAATAATGGCGCAAAATAATATGTTTTAAACATCATGGCTTTGTCAAAAAAAAAAAAACATCATGGATAATATAAGTTCTTTCATCATGTACAACATATATGTGCATGTGGATTGTGTAGTCCTTGAACGTTGGTATTAGTATCGAATTATGACTTTTATTAGTCTAGATTTTTAGTAAAACATGGGATATCTATGTATGTTTAGGAGTGGAGATTCTCGGATTTTATAATGGCTAATGTATCTATATCTACATTATCAATATTAGGAGTATTAAATTATTTGTGGATTCTTTGACCGGATAGTTAACGATTAAAAACATAGCATAATGTTATGTTTAACCTATTGTTTTACTTGTGTCTTGTCTGATTTTATATATATTATAATTTTAAATCCACAAAATAATGATATAAAAAGAATTGTATTTTTTTTTCTTATCACTTTCGTAGAGCGAGCAGATGCTGCGACCAATTGATTTGGTCATAGCCAAAATATCAATCTAGATTACTATAAATAGAGACACTAATTAAAGTATTTATGGATTCTTTTGACCAAATATTAGGATTATGATAAATGGTTTGTTAATATTTCATTAGTTTTAGATGACATATTCTTTATGAACGCTGCAAAATTAGATTTAACAACGCTGCAAAATAATATGCTAAAAACATCATGGATAACAGTGTACAATATAAGTTCATGTTTAATTGTGTACTCGTTGAACATTGGTATTAGTATGAATTTATGTTTTTTACTAGTATATATAGAATAAACGATGAATATCCATGTATTTTTAGAAGTGGAAGTCTTGGATTTTTCATGGCTAATGCCTAATGTATATCTATACTACCAATAATAGGAGTATTAAACTATTTTCAGAGTCTTTGACCGGATCATGCATATAGATATGATAAACCATATTGAGTTATATATGTGTTGAAAGAGAGTATATATATATTTTTAAGTTATTTATATAACTTTTCATAAACTGAGACTAAAGGAGAGTATATATATATATATATATATATATTGGGATACTGCTAGAAGGGATTGTTATATCTCCAAACTGTATTTTCTGTCATGTAATATTTTTACAATATGAAAATGGTGATGATTGGTATGTTGAATGTTGGATTAACAAAATATAGAATTCGGTAAAATGCCGTTCTTTTAGTAAACATAGCTTGTGATATAGTAAAATAGCATGCATTATTGATAAATAGAGAAAAACATGTTGTTATAGCATATGATGTATCTTTTAAATACATGTATTTGTTGTGCAATAGAGAAAATGAATATGCACTCTAAGGAGATTATGGAGATTGTAATTGTGCCATCTAATGAAGTTACATCAAACTTACCTTTTTGACTAAAATAAAATATGCCATCAAACATCAAACAGCCCAATAACACAGCCACCCGGTCCAGTAAAGCAAAATTTTCCGGATTTATAAAGTCTCAAAACCATAGGTGTTCTCCCAAGCCATGACCAAAAAATTTGATTACACAAGTAAAGTTTAGTCACATAAAAGAGACTACAATATACAGAAGAAAACTATGGAAGATACAAACTTGTTGTAATAGATAAAAAATTATGTTTTGAACTTTTGTGGTAAAGCGTTAAAATGAAATCACACAGCTTTACTTCACATACGCAAAACCGCAGAATGAGTGCGTTCGTACATATCTCCAGCCCTGCCATGACCCATGAGAGTTCACTACTTAGCCTTTACTTTTAACTTTGCTTCTTCCAACCAAAGATTAAAATGTAAAAAAAGGAATAATAAGAGTATGTTCGTAAGCTGCTTTGAGTATCTAATCCATCTCTCCTAAGATGACGTTTTCTGAAATTTTCGCATATTCCAAGCTTACCGATTACTGTTGTTCACCAGAACGAGGTAGAGCGGGTCAAGAGGAGAGAGACGGAATAGCTGCACGACAATGGCTACGCTCGTGCCAAGGCTGAAAAGAGTATCAAGTAAACATGAATGAAAAATGTTCTTGTCCATCAAGAGTTCAAGACTTTGAGAGAACTGTACCTGCCAAGGCCTATCAACAGAGCAACCCAGAGAATTCCAATGATCCAACTAGATTCTTTATAGACAACCCAAACCTGAAATAAACGAGTAAATGACTCATGGAAAGAGCAAAATAAGTTACTTTATTGCAGAGCTTATATACAACTTATAGGCTTTTACTAATCACCCATCCATAGTACTACTCTAGGCAATGTTCAAAATGGCGTTATAGAGTTTTGCAGCAAACCAAAAGGAGCAAGAGATAATGCAGTGAAAGATTGAAGACTTACTGATAAGACTGCAACATTAATGTAGAAGTTAACCAATAAAACCACCATCCACCTGTGGAAAGATTTAGCCAGTGAATAAAGCAAAGCCAGGGACATATGATTTCAACACAACAAAGAAATGCAGAAAGAAATGAAACTCACGGGTACAGAAGCTCCGAGTGGAAAGGAGAACCATAAGTTGAGCAAGTGTAAATCAAAGCGCCTAGCATCACACATCCTAAGGCACCAAACGCAAATCTTGCAGTGACAACAAGTGAATTCTTGTCTCTCAGACCCACTCCATCCCTAACAAGAAAACATTTACATCATTTATTAAATTGGTTCTGGAATTTCCACAAAAACCATACAGCAGATATGATTCTCTAATGGAACTTTGTGAGCAGCTTGGAGAACAGATCATAACTGCCACTAATCACATACTAAAGAGATACAAATGAAGATGGAGTCACAACACATAAAACAAGTTAAGAACCAGAAATGGTAACACATACTTGACTGAATCTCGAAGTAACAAATAGTACATAGGATCTTCTGAAGCTTCTTGAGTTGTCAGCTTAAGAAGTTGCAGAAACAGATACACACAAGTCGTGAGGCTGGAAACCAAAAAAAAAAAAAAAACAAAGACAAAAAAATGAACAAAAAATGCAAGATAATGTCGTCTATGATCTTGCTTCAGAATTCAGATAACAAGTTGATACCTGCCAAACATGATGAGCAAAATAGTCCAAAGTATTGAACCAGACCATGTAGACTCCTTATACACAATCCAAACCTGAAATTCAGAGAAATAACAAACAAGTAAAAATTAAAACTTTTTTTTTATTAAAAAAATAACAAGTAAAGAATATGCAAGGATATATATAAATCAGTGAAAGCATACCGCTATAGGTACGATATTAATGTAGAAATCCACAATTGTCGTTACAAACCATCTGAAAAACGTAACGAAAACGAACATGAACAAACATATCTGTGACTGTTTGTGTATGTGTGTGCGCAAATGAAGGAATAGAGAAAGGGGGAATTGGGTTTTACGGTGTGAAGACATCTTGGCGATCAAGTAAAGGAAGGCCATCGGTGACAACGGTGTAGACAAGAGTCGCGAGCATCACACAGAACATAACCGGTAAAAACACTTTTAGCCCGGTAACTAGACTAGTCGTCGCCATTGTTAAACAACACAAGAGAGACAGAGAGGAACGAGAGAAATGAGAAAATGAGAAATCGAAAAGATTGACGACGATTCAACTGAATAAACTCGAAGGAGCGACCGAAACAAGTGGTGAAAGAAGCGCCACGTCACCTCCAAATTGCTAACTGATATTTCAGACAGAACCGCATTTGGTTGAACCGGACTCACAAGGTTCCATTACATAAGACATTGTTATTATATACACACTTTAATAGAGATTATTACATATAAAAAGAGTAGAAATTATTTATTACATACACACACTTGAATAGAGAGATCTTTTCTTGTATACAGTTCCAAGTTCCAACTGTTGCAAAACGTATTGTGACTCACAAAACATCAAAGATGATGAACCAATAACCAAAACCTTACTAAGGGACTCGTATTGATTTTTTTTATTGGTCGTCTCATCATCAAAAATTTCAGACAAAACAAGTTATATATAAATGCACAAATCAAAGAGAGCTCGCAAAAGAACTGTACATCTTCAGCAAGCACAACCTCCTCTTTGCTCAGGCTCCGAACCACCAGTCTCTGGAATCCCCTGGAAATATCTGTTGCGCCGGAGTTAAGGATCCGAAAGAAGGTAAAAAAGTATAAAGACCAGAGGAAGTTCACCTAAAGAAGTGACTAGTGAGAGGTTTGCACTTACATATCTTGGTCGCGTTCATTGGCGAGGGCAAGTTTTGTGATGCACAAGAAGGAGTCGTCGACATTGTAATCTTCTTTAGCGGATGTCTCGAAATAGACTATGTTTCCCTTTTCAGCACACCATTCTCTAGCTTTCTTCTCAGATACCTGGACACCAAGGAACAAGTATAGCAAATTACAAGGACTTGTATTTGTATCTCTTCTTGATCCAAAAATTAAGAATTAACTTACCACTCGGCTGTTTCCTCCATCAATATCAACCTTGTTACCAAGAAGTATGAAAGGGAATGCCTTTGGATCACGTGGACTAGCCTGTAACAAAACACAATTTATATATCTATCTATCAGTCACTAAAACGAAGAAGATCGAAGACTCTTTTTTTTGGATAAGAGAAACGTGATGAGGAGAAACAGAAGTGTGATAAAAGAAAGAAAAATTACCTGTTTAAGAAACTCGTCATGCCAATTATCGAGAGAATCAAACGACTTCAAGTAATTTACATCATAGACAAGAACACAACAGTCTGCACCTCTATAGAAAGCAACACCAAGACTCTGAAACCTTTCTTGCCCAGCAGTGTCCCATATCTTTAGAAACGAAAATATTCATCATATTCAACTAAAGGGACAGCAAACTTTTTTTTTAATCTTTAAGAAACAAGAAAAAAAACCTCACTTGCAATGTGACAAGCCTGTCATCGACTTGAAGCTCCTTGGTGACAAAATCAGCTCCGATCGTAGCTTTGTACTGTTGACTGAACTTGTTATTCACATATCTACATAGAAAATAAGTTTTAAGTGTTTTATTTTTTTTACACCGACAGATACAAAAAAGAAGAAAACCCCAAGAAAGAAAGAAAGAAATAAATAAACAAATTTAGTTAAATTACTGATTCATCAACGATGTTTTGCCAACCCTGAGATATTGGGGGAGAGGAACCAAGAAAAAGAAAACAAGAGAATGGTTAAATCAAGAAAAAGAAAGAAAGAAAAAAAAGTTAGGTACGAAAAATTGTGAAGCTAACCCGCTGTCTCCAAGAAGAATAACTTTGAGCAAAGTTCGTCTTCGCATCGACATGTTCGCTCACACAGTATCTTCTGATCTTGTTTTGGAAAGAACCAAAAAAGGAAGAAGCAGAGAGCTCTGTTGTTCGGATTTGGAAAAGCAGAGAGAATGAGAAAATACAAAGGAGCGCCAATTTAGATCTCTAATGATCTTTTTGGGCAAACAAAAGTAAATAGCTGGAAGAGTCGTGGCCGTGGGGTTTGTCCAGCTTTTATGAGAGGAGTAGGATAATATCATATATAGAACAAAAACACAGAGCAAAAATAAAAGTATTTATTGTTCAATGTGATGAGATTGACAAAGGAACAAAAAAAAAAAAAAAGAAACAGGTCGGTAAAGTAATGCGCTATAACAAAACGTCACTAAGATAGAAAAAAAATAATAATAATTTGTTCTGTAAGGAAAACGTCATTAAAAGTATCCAAAATTTTTAAAAGGTTTGAGGTTGGTGTTCTAATGTGTTGTTATATCATCCAGACAACAAAGACGAGCCGTTCTGTTTCTTACTTTGTGATTCATCAGATTCAGAAGCGAATGATTCGTCCAAGAAACCTTCAAGCTTGGCTCTTTCCAAGCAATTTGAAAACTTTTTCGCAGCATCAGGGACATCCAAGGACAGGTCTTCAAGTGACTCATCAACTCTTTTAAATCCTTTGGTCATCTGATAAATCGTCACTAGTCCCGAATCAAAACACACTTTTAGTAGCTTCCATAACCGCTCCTCCTTCTCCTTCTCTTCTATGATCCTCACCACTGACTTCTTCACAACCTCGTGGTGGAAAAACGGCATTCCCAGTTCCTTCACGCACCTACATGCTTCTCTGAGGTCTCCACCAGATACATACTCTTCTAGAAGAATCTGGATCTTCTCTTTCACTTCCTGCACTGTTGATCCCGGCGAATTTGTCTCAGTTCCTCCTCCTCCCCAGCAACGTAAGATCCTTTCGCCAGAAAGACGTGCTTTCAGCAATGTTTTCGCCATTTGTATTACTTTTTCGCCCACACTTGAGCCTGCCTCGGGAGTCTGGTTTAACACTTCTTCCAGATCCCGTGGAGCTAACACTTCATCAACCACAGCTCTTGCTAAGAACATGGCAAGGTCTTCAACAACCACAGGGTTGTCTAAAGCAGTGTCGTCTGCAGATTCTATGAGCATCGAGAACGCCTTTCTGACATCTTTGGGAGGGAAACCAAGAGTAGAAACAAGCACACAAGCCATCTCTTTCTCTCTTTTCTTCCTGTCCATTGCTAGAGTTATCAGATATTTCACAAAGATTGCGCGCAGCTGACTCGAAGATGCATTCAATTCGGTTTCTAGACAATGTTCAACCTCCGAAGTGTCACCTGAAAGGAAATACTCTAGGATGATCGACTTAGCCTTGTCTTTAAAAACATTGGCGCTGGTGTTTTCAAGTAACTTTTCTCCTGAATCAGCGGAGAGTGATTTCAGAGAAGAAGCACATAACCATCCTTCAGAAGCAGCTTTAGAGATGAAAGACTGTAATATGCGACGTGCATCTGGTATGTCAAGAGACAAATCTTCAATTGAATCGATGATTCTGCTAAACCCTTTTGTCACCTGAGTAGAATTTATGAGACCAACCTCAATTGTTTCTTTTAAGAGATCTAGCAGCCTGAGTTCGGCTTTTCGCCTTTCCATTGCCATAATAAGTGCTCGTTTGACAATCTCATGATGAAAGAAAGGAACTTTTAGTCCTTTGATACATCTAAAAGCTTCTGTTTTGTCTCCACTCATGACATACTCTTTCAACAAGTCGTTGATTCTTGCTTTCACATCCTCAGCAGTCCAATTATCGGTCCCTCCCCATCTCTTCTCAACAACTTCAGCATGCAGGGGAGTGGCTAGATAGCTTTTCTCAGCCTTTCTCAGCACCTCTACGCCTTTGGAGTTATCTGGCAACAATTTCAATTGTTTCTTGAGAAAAGCAGGTGGAAGAATGTCGTCAACAATGGCTCGAGCGACAAACACAGCAAGAACATCAACTGCATCGGGAATATCTACAGAGAAATCATCAGCAGAAGCCACCAGTTTGTTAAAACCTCTGTAAACCTCAGGGGGATCAATGACACGAGCATAAAGCGTAGAGAGGAGAAAAGCAGCCATTTCTTTCTCTTTGTCATGTCTATCCATAGCCATGGAGACTAATTTCTTGACAAAATAGTAACGGTACTCAGCCATGCCAAGCTCCTTGAGTTCATTAGCAACGGACACAACATCATTGGTGCCAAAATACTCCTCGACAATTATAGTGGCCTTCTTTTTGTACTCAGTTAAATCTGCATCGAAGCTTGTTGGATCGGAATGCCCATTACCCTGATTCCATAAAAAAAAAAAGAAAAGAAACGTTAGACCTCTTTGTATGAGATAAAAGAATCATGAACACACACCACTAGTCACTAGAGAAGAGAGCCATATATAGAATAATAAAAGGTGAATGACCTCAGCGGTATCAAAATCAGGGTGAGTGAGGACATCATCTTCACTCCCTTGCTCCACTGCATAGTGAGAAAATCCAAAACCCAATAGTATATATCAGACGACATAACACAAGTCCTCTCTGTTAACCAAAAATCAAGAGAGGAAGTAAAAAAAAAAAAAGGATATACATTCAATAGGGAAAATATGTCTATGACTCTTGAGTAAATCCCCTGCCATGTTGGCCTGTGGAGAAGATATATTCAATTGAGAAATGCAGGAAGGATCCGTTTCCGTTTTCTCCATAGAAGAAGAAACTGTGACCTGGTCCTTGTTAAACTCCATTTTTAAACTCTCTTTGAATCCTTGCCAATTCCTCAACGAGAGCCCCCCCTTAAATCAAAATCAAAAATCAATCACCATTGAGAGTTTCTGCATTCTTCTTCTAAAACAGATTCATAACAGCAACACAAACAAACAATTCAACGGATTCAATCAAATATAACACACCAAATCTAGATTTAGGTCGTCAAATACATCGATCCAGGAACCAGAGAGAGAGAGAACAAAAAAAAAAAAAAAAATTTGATAAAATCGCAAAAGACAATCGATTCCACAAGGATTAAGGAAAAAAGAAAAACGCGGATCGAATGATTAGAGAGATAAGAAAAGGTAAGGAGATGACCAAAAAATAATAATAAACGTACACGAAAAGGCTAGGCTCGGCCAGAGAGAGTGATACAGGACGCCGGCGATGAAGCGGGCGTCTCTGGAGGAGTTGATCGAACACGATGATGAATTTAACTAATTAATTATCTCTATGCTTTTCCTCTGCTCTCTCTCTCTCTAACTGGTTTTTATTTTATTTTTTTAATTTTTGTGAAAATCAATCAAATAAATATATATATATATATATATATAAATATATATTTGTGTTTTATTTTCTCCGGCAATTTTATATATTTGAGTCTAAATATACCTCTTTTGAGTCTTTTACGCTCCTTCACTCTCTCTTCCTTTGATTCCTTAATTTGTACATACAGACCTAAATAAAATAGAGAATACAGTATTCTTCATGTGTTTCAAATGCATTATTTTATGTTTGATAAATTTTACAACGCACTATATATATAAATAAACTCAACATTGTAATTAATTTTGGAATTTCTTGTTAATGGAAGGTATCGTTTCATCTAAATTATGTCCAAAAGAAAAAACATCTATCAATAGGAAGTCTTTACTCTTATGCCAATCTAACGTACATCGCTTGGCTTTGTCTTCAAATACTTGTTTTTTGTCTTTTCTAGTTTTTTTTTTTGTGTTCAAACAATTTCAAAAGAGCTTTAAGACCACAAATGTTAGAGATGTGTATAAAAAGCATCAAGAAAATAGTAAAAATGAATCATTTGGTTTTATAAATATTATACTAATATTATATAGAGATACCCTCAAACAACGCTATATTAATAATTATGGACAATTATAACACATCCTCACAAATTTCCAGACATAACACTGATTAACATAATTAAATATATTTTTAGATTTTTTTTTTAAGAAATTTAGGTTGACTATTTTACATTTATGGTTTCATTTTTAGGGGGTAAGGTTTAATATTTAGAGTTTGAAATTTAATTTTGAAAATTTAATTATGAAAAATGGTGCTATTTTTATAATATTGTCGAATGTGTGCTAAATTTGGAAACAAAACTCTAGTGAAGTTTGCATGCAGCAGGTAAGACTTGAACCCTTCACTTTGAGCATTTACTAGAGGCATCCAAACCATTTTGCCAACTTTAATCCTTAAGTGTGGTGTTATTTTTGTTATCTCTCTTTGGTTACCGGTGTCACTTTTCACAAATGCATCTTCTTCAAAATATCAAAAGTCAGACTGCAAGATGAATCTCTTGCCAAACCATTTGTTGATCTAAACGTGCTACTATGATCAACACAAATATCCACAAAGTCTATATTAATATGTTTCGGTGCGGGAAATTTTTTTTTTTTCATACTTGCACAATTATCACGTGTTAAATTTATATATCAAACTATTCATTGTGCGATAACATACATGCACTTTTTACTAATTTGAATTTCGAGTCTAATGTTTCGTTTTTGTAACAACCCATCCCGGTGGGAACCCCTACCACATGACACACCCCGCCATATGGTAGCTACAAGCGCTGCAGCGCATCGACCCTAACCTCTCTCCTGTGGACCCCCAAACTGCGCAGCCCACTTGCTCGCAGCCCCCTGGCCCATCTGCAGGTCAGTTGGTAACAAATTGTCAAGTGGGAAGGTTGTTAAAGGGTGAGGACCTGGGTTCGAGGAACGCCAGACGCACCAATAACCTACCTGATGGGCCAGGAGGCTGCGAGCAAGTGGGCTGCGCAGTTTGGGCCCACAAGAGAGAGGTTAGAGTCGATGCGCTGCAGCGCTTGTAGCTGTCATATGGCGGGGTGTGCCATGTGGTAGGGGTTCCCACCGGGATGGGTTGTTACAGTTTTAGTCGTTCGAATAAAATAATTTTAATTTGTTGCTGGCAAGGCTCAAAACCCGCAACACATCCAACCCAATAACCTCACTGTAACCACTCAGACATAACAAATTAATGGGATTTAGTGACCACATATTTTATATATACTCTTCTATATCTCTTTTTAAACTCTTTGATTATAAGATTCAACCATATGGATTTTAAAATAACATATTTTACCTTTGGATTTGAATCCTTCTATTTTAC